ACTTCAAAGAACTTCCAGGCATTTTATCCTAAAAAGTCTTTTTATTCATGTGACAAAATGTCGGCACGGCATGATGAAAGGATGCTAAGATCTGAAATCTCCACCCCCCGAGCAGTTATTTTTGCTAGCATTTCCCCTCCCTTATTTTGCTGTCATGATTTACGTTCTCCAATTAGTTTGAAGGGCAAAGGTTCTCTTCTGTTCCCTTTCGTGGGCTTTTCTCTCCTCCCTCATTCTCATCTGAATTAACTCTAAAAGTACCAGACAGTTCTGCATATTTTGTCAAAGCAAGAATATTCAATATTAGCAGCGTTGACACTGTGTTCTATTGGTTGTGCTTCCATAATGTTGAATTCCAATATTGCATGATCACTTCCTCCCAAGGTTCCTATGGCTTCAACACCTTCTATCATTTCATCTCTGTTAGTGAGAATTAGATCCAAAATGGTTAATCCCCTAGTTCTCTTCTTTACTTTTTGGGAGACAAAGTTATCTGCTAGGTTTGTCAGGAATCTGTTTGATCTTCCACTTGGTGCAGAGTTTGTCTCCCAGTTGATGTCAGGGTAGTTAAAGTCCCCCATTACTATTGTGATGTGCTTCCTATATACCTTAGTTAGCTGACTAGCAAAAAGTTCATCTATTTCCTCTGTTTGGTTGGGTGGCCTATAGTATACACCTATGGCAATGTCATTTCCCCCCCCTTTTATATTGACCCATATGCATTCAGGACTGTTTTCATCATTGTTGTGCTCTATTTCTGTAGAGATGTAGTTATTTCTTATATAGAGAGCAACTCCACCTCCTCTTTTATTTGGTCTGTTTCTTTTAAATAATTTAAATCCCTCTAGCTGTGTGTTCCATTTGTGGGTTTCATCCCACCATGTTTCCGTAATGGCAACAATATCATATTGTTGCCATTATTTTGTGGAATTAGAGCACCCTTTGCTGTTGCTTTCTCTAGGATTTCAAGGAGATTCTCCCCGTTTGAAAGATTTTCAAATATTTATATTATTTTATGTTCTATATTTTCCATAATTTTATATTCTTGAGCTATCAAGCTATCATTTCCCCTCTGTTGACACATTGAAAAAAAATTATTGAGAAGTGTCATCATACAAATACTTCTGGTCTCCTGGTGAAGTGGTGACAAGTCCCAGATTGTACAGGGTTTCTTTGTACAAGGGCTGTGTGACCATGAAGGACCTAAGGTTTGGCATAAGTGTGGTGGGCTGCATCATTAACTAAGTTTGCTGCCTCTTTGCCCTTTTTTTCCAATTTCCCCAGGGTTTACACTTTTGAGCTATCAGAGTGCAGCAAGATGTCAGCAAAGGGAGGCACTGGATACAGCAGCACATCATAAGTGCCATAACTATGAGGAACAGGATGGTAACAAATAGTGTTCTTAGACATCCAAAGTTGGGCAGTCAAAAGGTGAGAGTGTTCCACATATCAAAAAAGGGAATGGGGTGGGCTATTTGGGTGGAATTATGGAGCATAGCTGACTGCTGCAAAATCCCTCAGATGTCTGTAAGGATCTCACTTCATTGATTAACGTAAGTGCAGCAAATGGAATTAATGACAGCACATATGCCTCCTTGGCTAGC